TTTTACTTACTACGCATATATACTAGTTCTAAATCTAATAATCAATAGAGTGCGCACATTTACAGAAAGTTGATTAGAATAATTAATTCATTATACAATGCTGTCTATATTTGTTAGACTCGCTTTGGGCGATACATAATTCGACAAAATTTAGAATATAATTTTGTTCATAAAATTTATAATACACAAAAATATAAAATATGTGTTTATAAATACATATGTATTTTAAAATCCATGACATATAAAATTATAAACAGAATGTCCTAAAATTGGTCACAAATATAGACCGATTAAGATTGGATTTAACAATATTCTTAGATAGGCAAATTTATTCAATGCGACGGAGATGTGCAATGTGTTATATTGATCCTACCAACGGGGTCTTTGGTGCTTATGTTTCTGGTGAAGCTGTACGCATGTCACTTAAACAATAGCAAAGTACGCCATATCGAAATTTTTATGATACATTGGTCGAAAGATAACTTAGAACATATACATATACATATACTATGTTCTAAAAAAGATACTTAAATTTTTATTGTTTTTCACGATCGCGGTCTGTCACGATCGTCAATATATTGAATATTCATCGAGTATGTTTCTAGATCAAAAGTCTCACTGATTATCTGCGTAGCGACTGGGAGAAGTTGGAAAGTTCAGAGGAGTACGAAATTATGAAAACGTATGCTGCGAACTCGAAACTCTTTTGTTTGGCCTCTTGTTGTAAGGATAAATCGCTTGATGCTATTTTTATTTTAACGGATAGATGATTGTTATGTCGTTTATTGCAGTATATTATTATACAGCTGGTGGTATGTTCATATTAATTAGCCTCGTACCTCACATAATAAATGTCGTATTACCGCTCAATGAATGGCCCATAATAATGCCTTATGAGGCCTATTACTTTGTGGACGGCGAAAAATACTTCTTTTACATTTTGTTCCACGTTTTTGTAAGCCTAGAAATATGTATAACGGCGGTGATCGCGTACGACAGCATGATTGTGGTTTACATCGAGCACGTTTGCAGCCTCTTCGCTGTGGCTGGGTAAGGAAAAAGTTGTCTTGCATTCTCTCAATTGTGTCTGACCAGGAAAACGGGACTGTCGCCTAAATGTTTGCAGATTTCGATTCCAGGCTCTATCTCGTAACGTTCGTGACGACGCAATAAATATTACTAATCCGAACGATGTATACCATCGGAAGATTGCGATCTCAGTGTGCGCACACTGGCGAGCTTTACGGTAATTTCATGCAATATTGTATTAAAATGTAA